TACAAAGCTTTTCAAATACAACAATAAATTATCACAAGATGGCTTCAGATAAATCATACAAAAATAGCAACTTCCATAGACTGTTACATCCAAACTTTTGTCAAACCACGCTGGCCTACTAAACTAAGGCGTAACTAACAAAAAAAACTTAAATCAAGGCAAAGAGAGAGGGCAATTATAAACATAAGTTTGCGTTGCTAGGGGCCGTTGCTATGGTAAAGCTATCTGATAAGGTCTAATTAAAGCAAAATACTTCAAAAAATACTCAAGATATCCGAAAACAGAATCCAGAAACATTTTCAGCAATGTTGAATTACTATAAAACAAAAAAAATCTCAAAAACCAACTTTTGATAAAAATTTAGCTTTTTTTGGTGGTGAACCACCTTAATGTATTGTTATTGTTCATAAAATATGAATATTCGTTATTATTTGAACCAAAGTGCATAATTTTACATTTTTCAAAATTTAATCCTAATTTCCATTTTGTTGACCATTCGTTAAGTTTATTTATATCATTTTGAAACAATTGTGAATCATTTTGAAAAGAAATAGGTGCAATTATCTTATTATCAGCATACAAACGACATTCATTAATAAAATTTTCTGGTAAATCATTTATGAATACCAAAAAAAGGAGAGGACCTAGAAAAGACCCTTGTGGTACACCACTAAGTACATCAACCCAATCTGTCACACTTTTACCTAAAACCACTCTTTGTTTTCTGTTAGCTAAAAAACAGACTATCCACGTAAAAAGTTTACCAGAAATACCAAAAGTCAATAACTTGGATAATAATTTTTTATGTGAAACACTATCAAAAGCTTTTTTAAAATCTGTGTACAATACATCCGCCGGTGTTCTATTGTGGAACACATTTGTTAAAATATCTAGGTATTCTAATAGGTTTGTTGTACAGCTCTTACTTTTCATAAAACCATGTTGTTTTTTTGAAAGTAAATTATTTTTTATGAGATGTTGCATGATACAATCAGCTATTATTCTTTCTAACACTTTACATGGTATTGAAGTTAACGAGACTGGTCTGTAGTCAGATGCTTTTAATTTGCTTCCTTTTTTAAAAAGTGGCATTACATTTGCCTTCTTCTGCATATCTGATAGGGTACCTGTTTCCATCGATTTTTTGAAAATTAAATATAATGGGTATGATATTGACGAGCTGCATTCTTTTAAAACATATGGATGAACAAAATCAAAACCGACTGATTTTGACTTATCAAACGCTTGAAGTCTAGTTTGAACATCATTTTGTGTTATTAAAACTGTGTTTAATAATAAATTTGAAGTTATATTATAAAACTCAATAATACTTGTACAATTATCATTAACATACACAGAATGAAAATATTTATTTAGTTCAGTAGCTATAGCGAATTGATCATTTATGATTTCCCCATTATCAATTTTCAGAGCTCGAATTTGAGTTTTCACTGATTTCTTCTCATTGATATATTTATAAAGCAATTTAGGATTTTATTTAAACTTGCTAGCTAAAGTACTTTGTAATTGTTTTATAATGTTCTTAATATCATTCTTTATTCTAATTTTTAGCTTATTATAGTGATTTTTTGTTGATTCCTCATTCCAGCCATTACGTTTATTAGCAAGCCATATATTGTTTTTAGTTCTTATTTTATGTTTCAATTCAGGAGTAATCCATTTGTTTCTGTTCATTCTATTTTGATAATTAATTCTTGGGATAAACAGATTAGTTGCATAATTGTAATGATACAAAAATAAATCATACATTTCATTTATAGATTTACTTTTAAATCCATTTTCCCAATCTACATTATTAAAATGGCAAGAAAATAGTTCATAATTTCCTTTTTGATATAATCTAATGGATTTCTTATGTTCGGTTGAAAACTTATAATCATTCATTAGTTGCTGAAAAAGGACAATTATTATCAGACCAATTTGTTGTATTATAGTTGAAGTCACCTGTAATAATAAGATCGCTGTATTCTTTTTGATAAATACTCATTTTAGCAGCATTAATAGATAGCAAAACATAGTTATTATACTCATGAGATATATCTGGTGGTCTTTAAATCATCCAATTAGCATTTTGTTATTTTTAAAACATATACAAGTCCATATTTGTTCTATAAAATTATTGTTAAACTGTAAATTATTTGTTTCAAACTGATTAATACATTGTTTTACAAAAATACAAACACCTCCTCCATGAGTCCACCTCCTCCATCAATCATCAATCTTTTTATTCAGAGACGTTGCATTTGTATACCAAATCATCAGTTCATTGCATTTTTGAGTATCGTGCTCCTTGTTTATACTTAAATCACATTTCTTACGCTCATGAAAGTTTACTATTTCAATATCTAGCTCTCTCTTATTGCTCAGCAACTTGTTAAGATTTTGACCTCCACCACTAAACAAATTTATTTTGTTAGTTTCATAGTTAAAGCATCGAATGTGGTTTAAGTCTTTTTTCGCATTTAGTTGCTATTTTTTTATTTTTACAACTTTGTCATTTCTAATACCAAAGTAAAAGTTTGCCGTGTTAATATTGTCATTATTTAGTTTTTTACACTCTTCTCTTAATAGCTTTGATTTGTACCGTTCAGATTCAGTCAAATCAGGATTTATAAATACACTTTCGTATGTTTTATCTTTCTTCAATTCCTTGGCATTTTTTAAAACAGAATTACGTTCCAATTTATCATTTAAAACAACAATATATGGAGCTTTATATCCATTTTTTGTCTTTAATTTGATAACATTTTTTATTTTGACATTGACCTTCAATTTTTTCATGATTGTTTCAATATTTTGTTTATCTTCTTCAATAGCTTTGACTTTATCACTTAATGTCGATTCCTCTAAACCGAAAATAACTAATTTATTTTCTCTTTTATCTCTTTCTTTGGTTTCACTTGCGATAGTATTAATAATTTGCATTTGATCTGGCGTTTTTTTTACTTTACTAGCCCAATCACCTGTCACTGCTGAACTAGATTTTGATTTAGAATTTTCTAAATCCAAAACTCTCTTAATCAAGTTTGCATTATCTGTTCTTAAAGTTTCGATTAACTTTTTTAAATCTACGATTATTGCTTTTTGCTCACATTTGTAAGTATTGAAATCACCTAGTTGTAAGTTACCCATTTAAATTACTGGATAGGAGGGCTACCACCCTAAATAACAGTGGATTACCTCCTGTCAGTGAATCAAAAGAAAATAGTAAAAAGAAATTAAAAAAAAAAAAAAAAAATCAAAACTATAGACCCAGCAAACAATAGACGTCTTTTAGACCGTCTAAAATTGGTCTAATTTGTATCTATTGCCGATACGTATATTTTAGACGTATATTAGAGATCAAAAAGACGTCTGATTCTAGAGATGCTATTTTTGCTCTGTTTTAGATGCATATTAGATGCATAAAATAGATCGTGCATAGATAATTTTTTTTTCATCTAAACTTAGATGTCTATAAGATGTCTTATATAGATTTGTAATAAAAACAAGAAAAAAATATCAACTTTACGGAGCGACAATTATAAATGACCGCCATTTAAAAACCATGCTTAAACTTATTACGAAAAAAACATGAAGATTTTAACCTATGGAAAACTTTAATGATTATTTCTTTTGATAAATTTTAAATAATATAATAACATGCTATTATAGTTCACAAAATATTTCGACGATTTGATGCTTAGCATGTTTGCTAAAATCCTTGTGATTTGAAATTTATTTTTCAGAAATATTACAAAATTAATATTTTCAAGTTGATATTTTTATTTCTAGAATAAAAGATAATGTAATTAAAATATATATATATATATATATATATATATATATATATATATATATATATATATATATATATATATATATATATATATATATATATGAAGAGGGCCGGCGCGAGTAGGTGTCACATGGGGGGGGTGTCATTACAACTTTTGCCGACTAAAAAAAAAAAAAAAAAGGTCCTCGTTTTCCAAAATTTACCGACTGTCATGACGACATTTGCCGACTGTCTAACCTATATCGAAAGGATGTCTACATTTGCCGACTAACTAGGCCCAATTTGCCGACTAAGGGTCCAATTTGCCGACTAAGGGTCCAGTTTGCCGACTAAAAATCATTGATGGGGGGGTGTCACACACCCCCACACACCCCTATCGCGCCGGCCTTGTATATATGTATATATATATATATATATACATATATATATATATATATATATATATATATATATATATATATATATATATATATATATATATATATATATATATATATATATATGTATATATATATATATATATATATATATATATATATATATATATATATATATATATATATATATGACTCATATATGAGTCTTGGTTTATATATATATATATATATATATATATATATATATATATATATATATATATATATATATATATATATATATATATATATATATATATATATATATATATATATATATATATATAAACATATATATATATATATATATATATATATATATATATATATATATATATATATGTATTTATACATATATATATATATATATATATATATATATATATATATATATATATATATATATGTATATATATATATATATATGTATATATATATATATATATATATATATATATATATATATATATATATATATATATATATATATATATATATATATATATATATATATATATATATTGACTCATATATGAGTCTTGGTTTCTCAATAAAAACGATAAGTGCACAACAATAAAACAACCATTTGTGTTATTGAAAAACACTCATAATATGAGTGTTTTTCAATGCTAAAAGTATATCATAAATATCATAATTTTTTCCTAATGTTTTATAAACTGAAATAGATTCTTGTTTGATTTGATCTGAATAATATCTATCTAGCTATTAGTCTTTTTTATGTATTACTAAGATTTTCCTTTTATTTTAACTATTTGGCGGTCCTATTATATGTAATGTTGTTAAATTGGTTACATATATTTATATCATTGACAACATTCTATTGTATTAAATAATCCTTTAATCAACTTGATATGAAAATTGAAAATTGATTGAAAGCATGCTGAAGTTGTTTGAATTCAGAAATTGAAAGAGTACAAAATTGGTTGAAAGATTAAATTAAGTAACAGGTATGGTTGAGGGATTATTTATAGTTCTAATTATAATTATTTCTTTTGAATAGAGTTGTTATCAGATTCAAAAATTGAAGAAGATAATTTTTCTTCACATTTTATTGATGAACACCAAGCAAAGTTCACATTGTCAAAGAGTTTTAAGTTTTAATGCGAGTAATTTTGGTTTTTACACCACTGAATGTTAATGTGGAGGTCTTTTTTATTAATTTATTTTTGTATTAAAATAATTGTAAAAGATAGGTATAAAAGAATAGAAATGGATTATTTATAATATTGTGATCCAATAAATCATGTGTGTAGCATTTTATCTTTAGTAGTTAAGCAAAATTCTTTAATATCGTAGCCTTTTACAGGATAAAGTTTTAGCTGATTTAAAAAGTAGGTTTTCCAAAATATTATGGCAACTTCTTCAATGGAGTAATATAAAAAACTTACATGGATTTTCGAAATTTTAGTTTAAGTTACTCAAGCATAATTTGAATTTTAAAGTTCTTATTTCATTGTTTTGCTATTTGGTTTTATGAGCTAAATATGTTAATCAATCTTTTTATTCTTGTTTGTAGAGATGCAAAATGTTATTCTCAAGGAGCTTGCAGAAATAAAAGTTCTTTTAAAAGAAGTTATAGAAATTAAGTTTCAGGCTACTGGGGTGAAGTTGCTAGAATTGGTGGACGAAGTGGTTACACTGGATAATAAACTAAAAGATAAAACCGAGTATACTAATTTGGTTTAATCTAATTATCTTAATTTTTAATAAGTTTGTTTAAGGTTGGTTTATTAGTTTAGAATCTAAATAAAAAGTATTTGCAAATGAACTAAAATAACTAGCTTGTGTTAGACTCAATATGTTGTAAAGAAATTTAAGTTACATTAGTTTTTATTACATTTATTTCAGCTTGATAGTTTAAAAAAGATTGGTGGTGGAAAGCCAAGAGAACATGTTTTTTTGATCATGAAAAGGTAAATGATTATGTTTTTATTAATTATTAGAAATATGATTAAAAGGGACCAAAAGCAATTCTTTTTTACCGTTATTTGTTATGGATTTACTTTTAACATGACAATTTGATAAATTCGGGAGCTTCGCTGTAGGTGTTTAAGTTTGTTTGTGTGCTAAAGTAAGTGTAATGCTAAACCTTGTTTAGCATTTTATTTTTAAATTTAATGCTTTTACCTTTCATAATTTTAAGCATTCATTTATTAAAATATATTTTAATTTATTAAATACATTAAAATAAAAATCTTTATATATTTCAGTTTATTGTTAAAATATTTATCAGGTTATTTTCGAATCAGTTACAGTCCAAATTAAATCAAAAAGGAAATGGGGAAAAGATAAGCTTAGAAAATCTTGTAAATATATGGAGTGTTTTACGAGGTATAGTTTTGATAATATTTACAAAACTGATATCTGTATTAAAAAGATATTCTTCGACTTTTTTGTGTCATGCTAGAATTTTTGTATCCATAATTCAAGTTCCTTTAGTTTTTTCATAAAAAAAGTGTTTATTATTGTATTGGGTTGAGATACAAATCTTCTTGTTTATATATATATATACACATATATATATATATATATATATATATATATATATATATATATATATATATATATATATATATATATATATATATATATATATATAGTATACATATATATATATATATATATATATATATATATATATATTTATATATATATATATATATATATATATTTATATATATATACATGTATATATGTGTATATACAGTATTGGACAAAACATTTGCAACCAACATCGAACAATGCTAAAAAGTGTTCCTAATTTTATATGTCTTGAAAATGAAACGAACTATACTACCGCAGCAAACAGTTCAAGAGTCTGGAGTCATAGCATGCCATGAAATGAGCAATCAGCTGACAGGTGACAGCACACAGGCAGAATTTCGTTGACAAGTGCCATTTTTCAGCATACATATATATACTGTGAAGCATGGTGGAGGCAATGTAATGGTCTGGGGGTGTTTTTCTGCTAGTGGTTTAGGTCCAATACATCGAATCGATGGAATAATGGACCACTTCATGTATAAAAATATCCTGGAAGATGTTATGCTACCTCATGCTGAATGGAATATACCAATAAAATGGGTTTTTCAGCAAGACAACGATCCCAAACACACTGCAAATGTAGTCAAGCAGTGGTTTCAAGACAACCATCTATTGGTGATGGATTGGCCGCCTCAATCTCCGGATCTCAACCCTATCGAGAACCTGTGGGAGATCGTCAACGGCGGAGTTAATCACGAATGTGTTTGTAATAAGGATCAACTGTTTGAACAAATCCAAAAGGCCTAGGCAGCGATTCCACAAAGTTTCATTGATCACCTGATCGATTCTATGCCTTAAAGATGCAAGGCTGTGATCGACAACAAAGGATTCACCACAAAATATTGATATGAATACAGCTTGGTCAACATTTTGTGGAGTTGCACTTGTTTTGTCCAGAAGGAAATCAACTTTTTTTAATACTTTTGATTAATTTATTAATTTTCGTGTACAAATAATGAACTTTGTGATGAATAAAATTTGAAGAACGTTGTCTCTAAACATTTACATAGTTATTTCTCTAAATTGAAAAAATACAGCACTTTTATACAAAGAAACTAAATTAGCATTATTTGGTTGCACTGGTTTTGTCCGATACTGTATGTGTGTGTATTTATATATATATATATATATATATATATATATATATATATATATATATATATATATATATATATATATATATATATATATATATATATATATATATATATATATAATATTTCATAAAAATAGATTCAGAATTCTACATGTCTTTTAAAGTCATTTAAATGTCATTAATGTATATATTTTAGATATCGGCGACGTGAAAGAAAATGTTGACGGCAATGCAGAAATATAGTTTCTTATGTATATTTTTGTGAAATAAAAATTAAGTAATGTTAGTTAAAATGTTTCTTTACTTATTTAATTTAATCCTTTTTAATGACTAATTTAACCGCTGTAACACCTTTGTATCAAACAAGTCCCAGCAAAGAAAGAGATATCTAAAATGCATCTAATATGCATCTAAAAACTGGTCTAAAAGACGTCTAAATTCACGTCGTGAACGGGACATAAATAGATGTCTATCTTATAGATGTCTTTTAGATGCATTTTATTCGACACAAATAAATGCCTTAGATGCATAAAAGATGTGAAATATACATTTAAAGATGTATATTAGATGTATATTAGATGCAAAAAGAGCTATTATTAACTAAAAAGTTATCTATTATCTATCTTTTTTAAACGCGCCTTAGACATCTATTTTAAAAGACGTATTTTATACATCTAATATGCATCTGTAAGATGTATATTTCACATCTTTTATGCATCTAAGGCAATTATTTGTGTCGAATAAAATGCATCTAAAAGACGTCTATAAGATAGACGTCTATTTATGTCCCGTTCTAGACCTGAATTTAGACATCTTTTAGATCAGTTTTTAGATGCATATTAGATGCATTTTAGATATCTTTTTGTTTGCTGGGGATAAGCTAATAGGATAAATTATAGAGTTAATAAGATAATTGTTAAAAATAAAGAAAAAATAAAAAACTTTTAAAAAGATTTTAATTCATTAACATCGTTAATAAGCCAAATAATGCATTTTAGGTTGCTCATAATTGTACTTAGAAAATCTTGTAGGGTACATGTGATTAATTTTATTGAAAAGTGTACTAAATATTATAGGTGATATTTTATTATGAAGTTTGTACATAAAAATAAGAATTTGATAAAGGTTTAACTGAAAAACATTGAGTATGTGAAGGTTATTAAATAGTTCTTTAGTATGTGTGAATCGACCTGCATTTGAAATAATTCTGACAGCATGTTTTTGTTTACTAAGCAGTTTTTTAATTTTACTTATATTAGAGCTGCACCAGGCAATGTTTGCATAGTTTATATAACAATGTATGAGGGAGAAATATAAAATTTTTAGGCAGTTTTGGTTTAAAAACTGCTTGGCTTTGAATAGTATACCAATATTTTTTGAAACTTTATTTTCTATTGTACTTATGTGTTCTCTCCATGTTAAGTTTTCATCAAGTATCACTCCTAAAAGTTTTATTGATGACTCTCTAATTATTTTAGAGTTGCCAATATAAAGATTAGGAAGTTTTAGTGGAATTTTTTCTTTATCGTGAACTCTATAAAAAAAAAGTATACTTAGTTTTATTTAAATTTAAGGACAATTTGTTCGCCTTGAACCATTCCGCTAGATTTAAAAATTCTTTGTTTACTATTTTAAATAAAAGTTTAATATCTCCATTTGAGTAAAATAAATTCGTGTCATCTGCAAATTAAACAGAGTTTAAAATGTTTGAAAACTTATGAAATCGTTTACATAAATAAGAAATAAAAGGGGACCCAGAATTGAACCTTGGGGAACACCGCAATTTATTGTCATATAGAAAGATTTTCCTTCTTCGTATGATATGTATTGTTTTCTATTGTTTAGATAACTTATGAACCAATCTAAATATGTGCTTTTAATACCATAACTTTCGAGTTTTTTTATAAGAATATTATGGTCTACTGTATCAAAAGCTTTGCTAAGCTCTATAAAAACTCCAAGAGTAAAGTTTTTCTTGTCAAGTGCTTTAAATATATCATGAACAATATTAATAATGGCATGGTCAGTTGAATTACCTGGCTGAAATCCAAATTGTTTATTATATAAAATATTATTTGTATTTAAAAAATTCAAAATCCGATTATACATAATTCGCTCTAAGATTTTTGAGAAGCAAGGGAGAATTGAAATTGGTCTGTAATTTTCAGAATTAGAAATATCTCCTGATTTAAAAATAGGCATAACCCTTGCAATTTTAAGTTTCTCAGGATAGACACCTTGTTTTAAAGAGAGATTAAAAATATGTAAGAGAGGGATTGTCAAGTATTTTATTGATTTTTTTATTACATTACTACTAATATTATCAACTTTTACACTTTTGTTTTGTTTTAAAAGATTTACTGCATCTATAAGTTCATTTTCAGTAATTTCATAAATATCCATTTTAGAGGTCTTATTAGGAGTAAGATGTCTCAAAGTTTATTTCAGTGGTTTCTATTTTTGACGCTAGAGTGGAACCTACACTTACAAAATATTGATTAAGTGTTTTGGCAATTAACGATTTATTTGTAATAACTTTATTATCAATTGTTAGATTTATAGGAAGAATATTTCTGTCAGTTTGTTTCGTACCAATTACTTCCTTAATAATGTTCCAAATATTGTGCCGATCATATTTATGCTTAATTAATTGCTCGGTATAGTAAAACTTCTTGGACTTTTTAATAACCATCTCAAAAATACGTTTATAATTTTTGTAATTGGTTTCATTGTTGAACGTTTTTTTTTTTGAGAAATTTATTATATAGTCGTTGCTTTTTTTTTTTTTGACGACTTGATAATTCCCTGAGTTATCCATGGATTTGATAATGTCTTTTTTTTCACACATTTTGTAATTAATGGAAACGCTGTATTATAAAGTTGTTGTAATTTATCTAGAAACTTATTGTATGTCTTATTTGTGTGTACAATATCAAGGAGGTCATCCCAGTTTAAATCTGCTAGAAGACTATTAAAATTTTCAATGGATTTTTTATCTATTTGTCGTGTAATTTTTTCAATTTTTTTTGCATAGATATTATCGCATTTTTGTGAGATAAGAAATATAGGGAAGTGGTCTGAAATGTCGCATTTAAATATACCCGTTTTTATTTATGATTTAAATTCGTTGGTTACTATTTGGTCTATAACAGTTGCGTTTTCTCTAGTTATTCTTGTGGGTTTATTAATTAGTGGAATATAGCCTTTCTGATAAATGACGTTATAGAAATGATTTATTTTTGTATTTAAAAGACGCATGTTCATGTCCAGGTTAAAATCACCTACAAAATAAACGCTTTTATTTTTGCTTAACTTATTTTTAATTATGTTTTTAATATAATTTTCGAATTGTTTTATTGAACCGGAAGGTGGTCTGTATAAAACGTGGATGATAAAGTTTTTTGTGGTTTTATTTATTATTTCCACGCACAGTGATTCACAATCATTAGTGGTTGAACACAAATCTTTTCTTAGTTTGTATACTAAAGTATTGCTTATAAATACACACAAACCGCCTCCTTTCTTCCCAGATTCTCTAAATTGATGAATCACTTTAAAATTTGGCAGCTGAAAATTTGTATTTGACATAATATATTCATCAGTACACCAACTTTCGCTGAGACTAATAATTTTAAAATTGAATTTAATCTCGCATAAAAATTGTTTAAATGATTCAAAATTTTTTGAAATGCTCCTAATGTTTAAATGCAAAATTGCAGATGAATTTAATCTATTCCTTGCATTTGTTTGCAGATTTAGGGTTATAATATAAAGTAATAATATTTTGAAAATTTTCCTAAATTTTCTAACTATAAGTTTATCATATTTTATAATATAATATTTACCATTTTTTCTATGCATCTTCATTTCTTCTGAGAGTTTTTTTCTTATGATTGTTGTTTCAAAAGAGAAGTCTTCGTTAATGTATATTCCTGTTCCTTTAAGCCGATTTGATGAATTTAAAACTTTTATTTTATCTTTGTAATGTAGTATTTTAACTACAATTGTTCGAGTTTTACTTTCTTCTTTTTTTCCAATTCTATGAGCCCTCTCGATATCAACGTTTTTAATGTTTAACACGTTTTCAAATGGGGTTTGTAACTTTTTTTCGGTTTCATCCCAGGTTTCTTGATCGTTTTCAGGAAGCCCGTCGATGCGAAGATTATTTCTTCTGAGTCTATCTTCTAGCTGTCGTAATTTATTTTTTTCCTCTTCACCTACACTGTTTTTGTTTTTAATTTTTTTTTCTAAATCACATATTTTTTTATCTTGGATATCCTGAGTAACTGTTAGACTTTCTTCGATATCTTTATTTGTCTTTTCGAGTATTCTTAGTCTTTCGGTAATTTCTTTAAGTTTAGTGTTAAACTTTTCGTTTTCTTTTTTTAATGAGTCGCAAATTTGTTTTGATTTATGTAATTCAACAAGTCACTTTTATTTTATCATTAGTTATTTTTAAGTAACCACTTAGAGTCACAAGTGCAACGTCATTACGACGTCGTTTTTGACGTCAAGCGGATACTCTACACAACATACATTAGACCGCATCTTTAGTATGCCATCAAGACAGATCCAGAGAAATAACATCACTTGAACGCATTCAACAGCAACCAACCAAAACAATAAGCAAGATAAAGCAGAAAAACTAAGAGGATAGACTACCAATACTCAATCTTACCACTTTAGGAGAGCGATGTAAAAGGGGCAACCTGATTAAGCAGTATAAAATTGCAAACAGAATGAAAAAAAATTGACTTTGCAGTATATATTCCATAACTATTTGCACAATTGCTATCAGAGTATAATCTGCATGGAAAGAACCAACCGATAAGAGACTATAAGATAAAAAACTTTGATATAAAACCCCATTTAACTGCAGGTTTTGAATAGCAATATAGCATTATATAAAGCATGAGCTCATATATATATATATATATATATATATATATATATATATATATATATATATATATATATATATAATATATATATATATATATATATATATATATATATATATATATATATATATATATATATGTATATTTATATATATATATATATAATATATATTTATGTTATATATATAATATATATATAATATATATATATATATATATATATATATATATATATATATATATATATATATATATATATATATATGTATATTTATATATATATATATAATATATATTTATGTTATATATATATATATATATATATATATATATATATATATATATATATATATATATATATACCCAGTAGGCACGTAAGTAAAAAAGACGTC